TGGCAAAACTGTTTTAAGGCTCAAATGAAATATCTGTGTAGAAATGAAGCAGAAAATGTTGGGTATGGTGGTGCACACACTTGTAATCCCAGCACTCAGGAGGCTAAGGCAGGAGGATCATGGCAACTTCAAGGCCAAGCCTGGGTTACAAAGTGAGTTCAAGGCCAGTCTGAACTGCATATTGAAACCCTATCTCCAAAAGACCAAAAAAAAAAACAAAAAAAAAAAACAAAAAAAAAAAACCCAAAAAAACAAAGGAAATGAAGCAGGATAACCACAAAATTACAGAGGCCTTGCTTTTCCTGACTGAGAATTAAAGAAATTTTTCTTTTTTTTTTTTTTTTTGGTTTTTCTCCGGTACCGGGAACCAAACTCACGACCTTGCACTTGCCAGGCAGGCGCTTTTGCCGCTGAGCTAAATCCCCAGCCCCTAAAGAAATTTTTCTTTTCCCACATTGTGTCAGTGTGAGCAATTTATAAAGGACACTTTCTGATAGCTTTCTGGAAGCCATGTCCCATAGCTGGAAAAGAATGACCTACTTAAAGAATGCATCTCAGGGTAGCTGGAAGTATCTGAATTAGCAAGGATAGTCCCCTACTTCCTCATCTTGATGTAAGTTCCTCTTCAGAAGCTGGAGCAGCCTGAGTTCTCAGATACTGGAGACCTCACAATGGAAATCAGTCTTTCATTGTTCTATATGGCTCCCAACCCCAAAACATCCCATCTTCCAATATCCCATTTCCATTAACGGAGGATTTAGGCCCCTGGCTCATGGGCTTCTTATCCCCCTTTCTATACATAAGTCATTTTAAATTTGTGTGGACAACACAACAACCCAGCCCCATCAGAAACCACTGCTCCTCTGATACTACAAATTCCAATATTTAGCTACAGTTCCAGTTCTTCTTTCTTATTATATTCAAATTTTCTTAGAGTCTTGTCCCTTTAAACTTTTTCTTTTGGCCTAATTAATTGCCACCTATTGATGGAGACCACTACAAAGTGGCTCTGAGCAGTATTTAATATTAACCAACTGGCTTTCCATGTTTACCTGTGAGTTGTTCAAAGCTTAGGCACCTTGTCTGGAGATGGGCAGCAGACTGATAGTAAATGAACCTCTGTGAGTCACTGGTCACTGTTGAGGCCTGTGAAGTTGTGACACCCCAAAGATAAGGCCACAGCTGAGGACGTTTGGCTCCAATCCCAATTAACTAAAAGGAGACTGCAGCTGCAGGCTCCACATTCCCACAACAAATGCCTACCTAAAGATGAGGTAGTTCTCCTGATTGACAGAATTTACTACTTGGGAAAATATTTCCCAAGGTCCTGCTAAAATGCCCTTATGTTCTCATATATATATATATATATATATATATTTTTTTTTTTGGTACTGGGAATTGAACTCAGGACCTTGTACTTGCCAGGCAGGCACTTTTGCTGCTGAGCTATGTCCTCAGCTTGCCCATGTTTTCTTAAGTATCCACCAACCACTGTGGTGGATTGACAACTGATGGTCAACTTATAACACCAAGCTGAACTGAGTAAGCGTGGTGCTGGGTGTGGAAAGCCCACCTGAGGATTGTTGCCAGCAGCATAAGAGGTAGAACTGGAGAAGAAGAAGTGCAAGGCTGTTGGGAACTGAGGCTGTTGGGAGCCTTTTGGAAGCTGATGAGAAGCTGTTGTAAGGAGCTGTTTGTTCTCGTGGAGGAGCTTGTCATGCTGGTTTTCCTGATAAACTCAGCTGTTCTCATCTTCCAAGGAGCTCAGGACCTTGTTGTTGCTGAGAATGGCTTTGGTTCACTTTGAGGGAGCTCTGGTATCACTTTGAGCATTGCTTTCTGGCTCCGGAGGGGAAGATGGTGCACTGCTCAGTCCTGGAGAAGCTTGTTGTGTTGGCTTTCCTGATGGGAATTTGGCTGTCTTGATCATTGGAGGAGCTTGGTATCTCACTGTTGCTAATGATGGCTGTGTTACTTTTCAGGGGAGCTCTGGTTCTTATTTTGAGCATTGCTTCCTGGCTCCAGTGTCTCAGCCTGTTAGCACAGATCCTTCATCATGCTGGCACAGACTTTCTAGATTCCATCACTGACCTTTGGACCTTCCCAACACAGATCCATGAAATAGGCCTGCATGAGACATTGTCATGGGCTCTAGGCCTCGAAGTTGGACTCGTGGGAGGCATTGTTATGGGCTCTAGGTCTTCAGCTGAACACATGCAGGACATTATTGTGGGAATCCAGGCCCTCAGCTGGATTCTTTGGTCTTTAGTGTGTGGACAAATTTCCTGCACTCTCTTGTATATGTTTCTTTGGGTGACTATTATAAATAATCTTATAAAATACGTGTTCTGTATTATTGTTTCTCTTTGCAAAAACCTCAAACCATGACACTATCCTTTATAAAGAACCTAATAAATACAGGCCACCCAGGGAAGTTCTTTGTCTTAACCCAGAGAATCGTGAATTCTGTGAGATGGTTTGGATCCTCCTGGAGCCCTAAAATCATTTCACTTGTCTCATTTATTTAAACCTTTGCTGTTCACTCATTTGGAAGATTGCGGGCCTGATCAGTCTGCAATAACTAGGGGATAATATTAACACAATAATCTATCTAGCCTGGCTCCAACAAACCCTCTCTTGTTTGTATCGTTAATGTTCTTGACCTTTTGTTCTGCTTCACGCACCCTAAAATTCCCTAGTGTCTGCCTTTCTGTGCTGAGACCAGTCCTCTGGTGGCCCTGGAGAAAGACCCACTAAGGGCTATTCCCAGAGCACTACCTTTAACGTCATCTTTCAGCCCTACCCAATAGGCTGCTTTTGAGAGTTTTGTTGGGTTCTTCACTCATTCCCCACAATGGCTTTTTTAAATTTTAAGGCTCCAAACCCACCCCTGCTCATCCAGCTCAGAAGACAGTCTTGCTTATTGTGTGATAAAGATCTCACAGGTTTTTTTTGGGGGGGGGGGGCTCCAGGAATCAAACTCAGGACCTCACGCTTGCCAGGCAGGAGCTTGTGCTGTTGAGCTATATCCCCGGCCCATGTGCAATAAAGAGAATGTACCTTCTTGCCCCTGTGTTTGCCTACCTGCTCATACTCTCGCCCACCACTCTTCTCTTCCCCTGCTACCTCAGAGGCAATGGAAACCTCCTGTTTTCACTGCTCTGACCCTTTGTTTCTCCCCTTAATGTTTCCTCTGAGCATTTTTTTGGTTCTTCTTTCTCCTGTACTTTGGATGTTTCCATCTTTCTGAATCTTTCTATGAAAGTTATAAAGATGCCAGAATCTTTCCATCTTAAAACATAACACTCTTTCTTTACCTGGTGTCTCCTTTGGCCATCTTATCTCTTTTGTTCATGAAAGATATCTTCTAGAGAACAGTATAAAGTGTGACCATCAATTTCTTACCTCTTCAGCTCTTACGGTCAGTTCCAATGTGAACCCCAGTGCAACTGAGACTTCTCTGGTCCAGGTCCCCCATGACCTCAAAATCACTATAGTCAGCCGGCTCATCTTGATTCTCACTGTACCTAACCCTGACAGCCATGTACGCACTGACTGCTACCTCCTCAAAACCCTCTTGGTCCCTCGCTCCCTAGATAACCCTAATCTTCTTCTACCTCTCTGAGAATCTGCTCTGCCTCCCTGGTGGACCCTATGCCTTCTCTCTAAACAGTCAGTGTGACCATTTCCCAGGGTTTGTCTTCCGTCCTTACACTACAGCTTCTCAACTCTGCCCTCTCTGCTGAGGACTCCTACTGCAAACCACTCTTGAAGTCTCAGACTGAGACCCCCAGCTCAGCTACCAGACATCTCACCTGGATGTACCAAAGAAACGTCAAGACTATCACATCCAGAATTGAACCCACTGTCTTTTCCAGCATCCTCTAAACCTCTTTTTTCTCCCATATCAGTCAATGGCATCACCACCTCTTCCTGGCCTAAGAGTCATTCTCTACCCTTTCCTCTCCTATGTGCCCCCACATCCAACTGTTCACCAAATACATCTCAAAACTGTGTCATCTCTACCCCTAAGCTGCCTCAATCCAGATCCATGGTCTCTTCTAACTGTGTTACTATAACAGCACTTTAAGAGGTCTCTGTTTCCTGGTTTGCACCACTTCAGGTCAGGCTTGACCGACTGCTGCAGCCCTATAAAATGCACACTCCATTCCCTCCTACTCAGAAGACTGAGGCAGGAGGATTACTTGAGCATAGGACTTTGAGGCCAGGCTGGGCAACACAGCAAAACCCAGATACAGAAGGAAGCAGATCTGCTCCAAGCCATGGCAGTAGAAAGCATGTGTGTGGGACCAGGGGTGGGTATAAGGGCACTGAATATGTAGAAGCACAGGGAACTTCCTGAAGATGAAACAGTCTACAGTGATTTTATTTTGTTTTGATGAGACAGGATCTTGCTGTGTAATTCAGGCTGGTCCTGAACTCACTATGTAGCCCAGGCTGGCCTTGAACTCTAGGCAATCCTCTTGCTTCAGCTTCCCAAGCGCTGGGATTACAGGCATACAGGCGTGCATCACCACACCTGGCCCGGTCTCCGTCTTGACTCTGGTGTTGGGCAGGTGCATATATATAGGGTCACAGTGCATCAAGCTCTGTTTTATTGTGAGTAAAATACTGCTCAGTAAACTTTATTTAAAAGGTCTCTTTCTACGTTATTGACTGCCTGGAGAGCACAGCTCTAAAGTCCTGTCCAGGCAAAGGGAGGACCAGCCCCACCCCAACCAAAGACATACTTGGGAAGTCTTCCACTGCATTGTGCTATATCTCGCCCTCCTTCCTTGAGCAAACGATGGCAGCCCGACCGCTAGCCCGCTGGGCTGGGTCTGCGGAAGGAAGCCGGACAGACGCCGCCCCTCTAGTCCTGTAGGGGGCGCTGCACCTGTCGCCACGACCTCTCTGCACCCGCCCTCACAACCACCCAGCTCGGCAACATCCCTCATGCCCATTGGTCGAGCGTGGCCTGTCTGTCCAATGGGGAGAGGTGTTGTTACGAGGAGCACCGCCTTCTCTGGGCGGTTGCGGCGGCTGGTGGACTGGCACCCTGAGTCCGACTCCGGGCCAAAATGCCGCAGTACCAGACCTGGGAGGAGTTCAGTCGCGCGGCAGAGAAGCTGTACCTCGCAGACCCGATGAAGGTGAGCAGCCGGCGAGGCCCGGCGAGGCCGCGGGAGCCGGGGTCTTCGGGCGCGCTGAGGGCGGGCGGGGAGCTGGGTCCCGCCTCCTGCACGGCGGCGCGCGGGGTGCGCAAGATGGTGGTGGTGCTCGGCCGCGCCCGGACGGCCCTCTCAGGTCCGTTTGGAAGCGCCCGTGCCCCCTGATAGGCGCCCGCAGCCTTGTCGGGCCGCTGGCCTTCTGAGAGTGTGCAGAGGCTCACACCTTCCTCGGAGTAACGCAGCTGTACGTGGAAGGCGTGCCGGTGACTGCCTCCCGCGTGGAACCGGGTCAGGTGAGGCTTCGGAGAGACAAAGGGTCGGCTCGCCTCGGAGCTGGCGTTGGGCACGCGGGCTGTGAGTGTGGCCTTTGGAAAAGAAAGAAAGTGAAAAGCAGTTAATAAATCTCAGAAAACTACTCAAGATTCCTATGTGAGATTTTTAATGGTCAGTAAATGAGCAAAAAAGTGAGGGGAAAAAAGGGTAAAATGGAAACGAAGCTTGGTAAGGAGGAGAAGAGGGGTTGAAGAGAGGGAAGTGGAATGGGAGAAAAGAGGAACTATGATATATTATGTACAGGTACAAATTTCCTACCATGAATGTGATCATTATGCATATCTAAATTGTACCAATACACTGATAAATAACAAGAACTGTATTAAAGGTATACATTCGTCTAGTAATTTGTAACTCCAGGACCAAGTTATTTGTAATGAGCATCAGTTTAAACTGTGCACCAAAGCCTGACCTGGTGGCGAACGCCTATAATCCCAGCACTGGGGAGGCTGATGCAGGAGGATTGTTGCGAGTTCAAGACCAGCCTAGGCTACAGAGTGAACTCAGGGCCAGCCTGAACTGCATAGCGAGACCCTGTCTCAAAAAAACCAAAAATAAAATAAAATAAAATAAACGAAACAAAACTGTGCACCAAGTTGTGTTGTTATTATAGTTAAAAATAGTCCTATAGAAAGACAGATAAGCAGCAAGAAGCAAAATATTCTGAGTACCATTCTTAAAGTGTTACAATAATAGCTTACTTTATAGTTGTGTAATAAACGGTGAAACGATTAAGGTATTGTTGAAATTGAAAACTTTGTGACACTGGTAATTGCTGGTTTTCCTTTTCCTTGCAAACCTTTTATTTTTTTCAGGCAGGCATTATACCATGAGACTGTACAGGATTTTTGCCTGGAAGTTCCTGCTGGGTAAACACAATATAGGCCTTTTAACTCATGTCTCCTAATGAAACTAGAGACTGTTCTTTAACTGACAGCTAAAACTTTATGTAGTTGTCATATATAGTATATTTTTAAATTTTAGTTTCTTTTTGTTTGTAGAAAACTGAATTTCTTAAAATATGTAAAATTCCATTTAGTAGATCACAGATTCTAAACAGTCTGGTCATTATTATGTATATCTACTTAAATTCTTGGTGAGTTCCCATTTCTTCCTTATTAAGACAAATTTCATGGAGATGCAACATATTGTTTGCAATCTCAGGACTGCAAAGAGCAAACAGCTGGCCAAATGTTACTGATAGTCCTTAGCGAAAAGCCTCAGCTACTGCAATGCACTGTGCTCACATCCATCATGAAAGTATTGTCTTATGAGAACATGCTAATATCTGAATCATGGCTTGGCTATCTAACTGTACAGTACTGAACAACAAAAAGTATGCAGCCAGGTGTGGTGCATACCTGTAGTCCCAGCACTGGGGAGGGTGAGGCAGGATTGCTGTGAGTTCAAGGCCAGCCTGTGCTACTGAGTGAGTTCATAGCCAGCCTGAACTACATAGTGAAACCTTGTCTCCAAAAAAAGAAAAGTAATATGTAGCATGGTACTCAGTACAGAAGTTATTAGTTTTGGGAAAAGTTGTTGATACAGTCTTCTTTTCAAGGCACAATTCTGCTTAAAAGTAATGCGTCATGTTATGAATTATTTAACTAACTTTAGTCCTAATCCATCTCGGGAGAGCTGTAGAAAAGTAGCAAGTATGAACTGGATCGCAGCACTGTTTCCTGGATGGCTTAGGACTTTTTAACTAGTTATTTGTGCTGATTGTTTTTCTTTCTTTTCTTGTTATTCCTCTTGCTAAGTATGTTGTTGTATGTACTTTCCAGCAAGAAAGGCCAAACTACCTTACAGTCTCACAGACATTTCCTGAATACTGATGTGTTTTGGAAATTTTTAGTACATCTCCTCAAGGTAGTTGCAAATATAATATATTTAACTTTTTAAAGAAGTCTACAATAAATTATAGCAGTAGGAATGAACTGAAATATCTGTATTTTTACCTCATTTCAGTAATGATAAGATTACAATAAAGGCATCTTTAGGTGTTTTGGTTATTCTAAAAAGACCCTTTTTAGTCCACCTGAAGACTAAATTATTTTTGAGAAATGTCTTGTATCTTTATTGCTTCTAAATACATATTTTTATTTCAGGCACGAGTGGTTCTCAAATATAGGCACGCTAATGGGAATTTGTGTATTAAAGTAACAGATGATTTAGTTGTAAGTATACATTTTTATTTATTGCATACTTACAGATGTGTAATTGAGTTAATCATTTGTTTGAGATTATTTACCTAGAACTTATGCAGATTAGCCATTGGGTTGTTTATTTTGCATTTCATTCCAATATGAAGAACTTAATTTTAGAAGCTGCTTTTGTTTGAGACAGTCTTGCTATGTAGTTCAGACTGGCCTTGAATTCCCTATGATCTTCTTGCCTCAACCTCCCAAGAGCATGGGCCGCCACACTTGGTTGAGAACCTGCTTTTGTAGATAGGTCCTCGGGAGATAATTACCGTGCTTTCTTGAGGGATAGTATGTGGGCATGGCTTAACAGTTGTTCTTTTCACACCTTAAGCAAGAGGACAATAGATACTAAAAGTGGGTTTCAGGGAGTAAAGGTTTCATGTTTCTTGTGTTAGAAGCAGACAGAGTATTTGATGTCACTTATGGCAAACCTCTGGGGGCTGTTTGTGTCATTGAAAGCTCTAAAAGGTTCTCCATCCCTGCTGGATCTGCTCTTTTCCTGATTTAGTCAGTATTACTTCCTCATAGCCCGTTCATTCTTTAGTTCTCTTTTGTTGGTTTCTCAGATCAGATTTCACTGACACCTCTTTTGGTGAGAGTTCATTAACAGTGCCTTAATTTTCAAACCAGTGGTCTCATCAGTTTATATTTTGCTCTGTCTTGCTGCTTTTGATAGCAAGACCACTCAAGAAAACTATTGTTTTGGCACTTGTGCCTCCGTTTTATCTTGGCTTTTTTTTAAATCCCTGTTTCTGTTCTTTTGTTTTTCTTTGCTAATTATTTCTTTGATGTACCCCACCATAAAATTTGTTTCCCCAGGATTCTGTCCTTGGTTCTTTTTGGCCTCTTTTGAAGCAGTACCTTAAGTCAAGTCTAGTACTGCCTGTATCTTTGTCTACCTCCAATTTGTATGTTTAGCTGCTGTTTAACTTCTGATGTCTAGCTTCTGTTGAATGTGGTTAGCTGACGTACCCTTCAAAGTGGAATACATCTGGTCTTTTCCACCTGGCTTCTTCTATTCCTACCTTTAGTTGCAATGTCATCTACCTGGTGAGAAGCCCAGAATTGTATCTGCCCTCTTTCTTTCCCTTGGTCTCCTGGCCACTGTTTGTTTACTTGAAAAATGTGTTTGGCCCCTTGATAGTACCATGCATACTCTTGGCTAGGCATTTGGAACGTTTGAGAAGTTTCTGGTGGAGTTTATATAGTTTTTCATCTATAGCAATGGCATTTAAAAACTGGTATTTGATTGTTCTCTTTTGTTTTTGGTTTTTGTAGTACCTGGAATTGAAACCAGGGTGTTTGTGCTAAATACATCCTCTGCTCCTGTATTTTTTATTTTTAGGCAGGCTTTTGCTAAATTGCCCGGGCAGGGCTCAGACTTTGATAATCTTGCCTCAGCCTCTTAGAGTGCTGGGATTACAAGCTTAACAGCACACCTGGCTAAAATACTGTTTTTAAGGAGTATAATTCCTAAAGGATTGGGAATTTGAGTGATTTCTTTAGTGTGGTGTCCAGAGAAATTATAGAAAAACAATGGTAGGAAAGGCTCTAATATTTTAACTCAATTACGTGTTTTCTACACTACCATTTTCTAGTTTCACTTAATGTGTGCTTTTAAAATTTTGGACAGTGTTTGGTGTACAGAACAGATCAAGCTCAAGATGTGAAGAAGATTGAGAAGTTCCACAGTCAGCTGATGCGACTTATGGTAGCCAAGGAGTCCCGCAATGTTACCATGGAAACAGACTGACAGTTTGAAATGATTGAAATGAAGATTCTGTTTGTAGGAAGTAAATACCTTTTGAAATTGATAAAATATTGGAACAGAAAATACTTTATGTAACTAAGTGGGCTATTCAAAAGTCAAGAGATCATTTTTTGTATTTTCTTTTTAATGTTTATCTTAGAGCTGTAGGAATATAAATGCTTTCAGTTAGAGAACCATTATTTTTTGGAAATTGAACAAGAAATGTCTCTATCTTAGAAACTTTTTGCAGAAGCTATTTGATGTTAGGCAGAATGTATAATTATTTCTGTGGTGAATCTGTATCAGTAATTTTAAAATACAATACCAAGAAAAGCCAGTTCTTACATTTAGTTCATCTGCCTTTAAGAGAAAGTTAAATGTAACCATTTTGGTGGATTGTTATATTTCTTTTGGAGCATAAACTTTGCACTGTTAATAACCAGTAAAGGGGCTGGGGATTTAGCTCAGCGGCAAAAGCGCCTGCCTGGCAAGCGCAAGGTCGTGAGTTCGGTTCCCGGTACCGGAGAAAAACCAAAAAAAACAAAAAAACAAAACAAAACAAAAAAAATAACCAGTAAAAAAACAATAAAAATATATGGTAATGAGGATTAACTGCACAGTATTAACCTGTTTTTTTTTTTTTTAATCAGAACGTATATCTAGTTGCTAATAGTGTAGTCTCAATTATGTCTAAAAATAGTAACAGGTGTGCTTTACCTTAAGCTTTCCCAACTTAAACTCTGCAGTGACTGACTTTGGACCTGGTTTTTAGTCATGAAAAACAGTAGCAGTCATCTGAGTGCATGGGCCGAATGATGATTACTGTGGTGGACTGAACCCCCATGCAACAGATACTTATTCCATGTTTCCCATCTGTAGCTTCTCAGAAGGACTGCAGAATATTCCACCTGCTAAATCTTTGCACTCTGTGGTACCCTGCCCATTTTCCCCTGCAACTAAGATGTTAAGGATGACTATCACAACTATTATATTTATTCTATATCTGTAATCTGATTTTACTGTCCAAAGGTAATGTTCATAGGTAGATTCCTTCGAGTGAAATGCAGGCACTGCATTAAAATATTTTTTGTAGTGAATAACATTGTAGCTTGGAAAGTCATGTTAGCCATGAGAATTTTGACATGTTTCGGAAAGATCAGTAAATAAAATAGTACACAAATATATTTTGTTCTGTTGGATTTATTACTCTCTCAGAAGTTAGCAGTTTCTTGACCAGGGTATATTCATTTACCCTAAAGTGAGCCTAGTGATACTGCAAGTAAATTTTTTTATTATTCTTCTCAGTACTTTTTTATTATCTGTTTTTTTCTGAGCTGTATGCTCATGGTAGGATCGTTTTCTTGAATTAGGAAGTTTGTATCAGATAGTATAGGATTTTTTTTTACCCTCAAGAATTAATTAGGGTGAGGCTGGCAAGGAGCATGGCCTTTTTTACTCTTTTACAGCTTCCACTTTTTAACACTACTTCATAGAGACAACTTGGAATGGAAAGTCTGGTGTTTGGGTTTCTTGAGTCCTAGCAGCTCACAGAGTGTTTAGAAAGAGAGAGCCCAAGTCTGCCTGTCTGGGTTGAATCTTGGTTGTTCTATGTTCTTATCCACAGGCTAGGTAACACCTGAATATAATTCTTGTACCCTGAGTATTTTTTTAAAAGTAGAAACTGTATCTAGCTGCTATAATCACACTTTCATGGATTTATTTATTTTGGGGGAGGGAATACCAGGAATTGAACTCAGGGCCTTACCCTTGCCAGTCAGGCGCTACACTGCTGAGCTATATCCCTGGCCCAAATTTATGTTTAGCAAATTGTTTTGTGACATATTTGGTCAAAGAATACATTCTACTTGGAGCAGAGCCCATAATTTTTACTGTTAGGCCACATACGTTCTCTATTGTGAAGTGTTGACTTCTCTCTTTCAGGGATTACCCAGCCTGCCAGCTTCTTATTATCAAAATGTAAAGTCCTTTAGTCATAGCTCCAAGTCATTGATTGGAAGCAGTGTTGACAGCAGCTTACTCGTGGTATCTTCTCTTACTCTCAGAAAAATCTAGGGTCTAGAGACATGGCTCAGTGGTAGAGTATGCACAAGGCCCTGAGTTTGATCACACACACACAATCTAACATTGGCTGTCAGTTTTGAAAGTGTGGGGCTGCGTGTGGTAGCACACGCCTATAACCCCAGCCTGGTCTCTACAGTGAGTCAGTGAGTTCAAGACCTGAGCTATTTAGTGAGTCCTTGTATCAAGAAAGAAAGTGTTCCAAAACTAATTTCAGGATGAGTATGTGTGAGAGAAGTGAGTTGCACAAAGGTGTAAGTAGCAGATCTTACTCTTGCTAAAAACAAAAAATGAAATCTGAACATAATGTTCATTGCACCTTTATGTTTGCCTCTTTTATTTTTGTCTTTTTGAGACAGGGTCTCGTGATGCAGTCCAGGCTGGCCTTGAGCTCAGTTTGTAGCCCAGGCTGGTCTCGAACTTGCAGCGATCCTCCTACCTCAGCTTCCCGAGTGCTGGGATTGTAGGCATGCGCCATCACGCCTGGCTGCCTCTTTTATTAAATGCCTTGTAACAATAACAGTAACATTGTTAGTATTTTTTCTCTTAAAACAGGGAAGCAGGGTGTGGTGGTACATACCTGTAATTCTAGCCACCCAGGAGGCAGAGGAAGGAAGAGGATTGCAAGTTCAAGGCTAACCTGGGCAACTTAGACCCTGCACAACAATAAAACAAGTATTAGTTAATCTGGTTCCATATAAGATGGAGTGAGCATGCTCCACTATGAGTCGCCCACTGTGCTGCTCAAGAACTCTGGAAAGAAACTCCTACCAGGTGGATTGAGGAAGATTAGAATTTGGAGTACTGCTGAACCAGTGATAAGTCTCATTTTTTTCCCTCTTTAGTACCCTGCAGCCAAATACCATGTCAGAAACCTGGGAATGAGTACTGGGGTGCAAAGAGAATGCTAGAGGGAGTGGGAAGGAAATTCTAGTATTCCAAGAGAGTGCAGAAACTGCTATTTTCCTTTTCTGCTTTATGTCCCATATATCCCACCTGCTAGGCAGCCCGTGGAGTGCCATTGTTGAGTACCTGAACTGGGAACCTTGGTAGACATTTGTGTTTTCGAGGACCTGAAGCGGTCCTCACTGCTTCTCTTTCCTCTGCCCATATGGTTCAGACAGGAACACAGCAGCAGGTCATTGCCAGAGAGCAGTAGAAGGAACCAGGAAGAATTGGGGAGAGCACGGAGCTCTGTCACCCAAAACAGATGGCCTAAAGCTGTTTATGAACACCTGTGTTCACCCTGGCCATGTGGGTATGGATCCAGTCTCAGTTTACCAAAGAAGAGTTCCACTCAGGCCCCAAGCTGGCTCCTTGGAGGTTTGAGTTTCATGAAATTGGTGAAAACAAAAGTGATACTGAAAGCAACCAGAGAAAACATTACTATAAAGAAACAAAAATTTGAATAACTGGATTTCTCATCAGAAATCATAGAGGCAGAAAGTAGCACATTCTCTGAAGGCTGAAAGAACTCTCAACCCCAGATTCCATACCAAGTGCAGATGGCCTTCAGGAGTGTGTGTGAAACAAAGGCGTTCGTGGATTGCGAAAAATGAGAAGCCACTACCAGCAGATGTATCTAAGAAGAGCTATGCAGAGTTCAACAGGAGGGGATGGCATAGCAAGGAAATGAAAGCTTGCAGGAATGAATAGAAGCAACAGAAGTTGTCATCTGGGTTTAGACTGTTCTCTAAAGGCTAAAAGAGGGAAAGACTGCTGGTCTTGGTGGTGCACACCTGTAATGCCAGTATTCAGGAGGCTGAGGCAGGAAGATCACTGGGAGTTCAAGGCCAGCTGAACTACATAGTGAGACCCTGTCAAAAAAAGAAAAAGGAAAGAACCAAAGCCAAAGGAGGGAACCAAAGGCAAGAAACAGGTTTGATATGGTGGTATGTGTAATGGGTTACTCTGAATAAAGAACTGAGACCAGAATCCAAATTGGAATTTAAGAGCCTTTATTAGCCAGGCCATAGCTGTCAGTCTGTTCTCCGTGCAGGGAGATGCTGAGCAGCCCCAAACCGAAGAATGCTTCAGCTTTGAAGCTTGAAAGCCACATCCTGGTTGGTGCAACTGTCTTGTGAAAAGTTTTTGTACGGGCAAAAAGCCGAACTTACCGGTTTCAGCAAGCAGGTGTTATAAAGTTCAGAACGTTCTCAGAAGAACATTTCCTCTTCCTTAGGCCAAACTAACATTTTCCCTTCACCCAACAGCTCAGTAATTTTCCATCTGTTTTATGTGTTCATCACAGTATGTGCCTGTCATCCCAGGCTGGGAGGCTGAGGCAGGTCGAACACTGCCTGGGCAACTTGGTTACAGCCCATGTCTCAAAATAAAAAGTAAAGGACTGGGTATGTTGCTCATTGTGAAATCCCTGGGTTCATTACCCAGTGTTGGAGGTGGGGGTCTTTAGCCTGTCAAGAAGACAGTTCTAAATGTGATCACATACAGAGCAAGGGTGGGGTTGTATCTCAGTGGTAGAGCACCTGGCTAGCATGTGGGGCTCTGGGCTCATTGCCAGCACCCCGCTAAAAAATTATAAAGGAGCAGAAGTTGACAGAAGTGAAAAAAGCAGCAGAAAAGTCCACAATTTCAAGTTGCAAGCCACTACATTTCTGACACTATTAAATTCATCTGGGATTAACAGAGACTTTATAGGCTAAGGGCACAGTGTTTACAAGGCTCCTTTACACGCAGGCTGAGCCCCAGGTTTCCCAGGGAACTAGACTCAACCAGCTGGCTGCAAACTTTGGTATTCTCATTACCTCCTTGCCACCAGTAGACTTGACTCATTTGTAGAACTCAGGAAATCACTGTACTGTATTCATAGTTTTACTGTGAAGGTACAAATCAGGACCAGACAAGAGATGGGAGACACAGTGTAAAGTCCTGGAGGTTCCCAGTGATACGCTTCTGTGTCCTCAGGACAAGTTACCCTCACAAGGCAATGGAGTGTCATGACCAACCAGGGATGCTCATCCAAGCTGCAGGAGCCCAGAGTTTTCTGGTAGTGTAATAGGCAGTGGAGTTAGATAGAAATATTAGAGGCAGTCAGGCAGGGCCAGGGCCTCGAAGGAGCCAACATGAAAGATATGTATTTACTGTGGGCCATACCTCAGGACAAAGGACTAAACAAATGCACCCACATACCTGCCTAGGGATGGACCTCAGGGATTGATATTCTAAATGGGTAGTGATCACCTTGAAGAGTACTTGACCCAACCCCTTACAGGAAAAGCCTGTGTTCTGTATTCATGC